ATTTTCATTTAAAATGTACAATCTCAAAAACACACACACCCACTCACATCATTAGCCACTGCAAGGTGTTAAGGTGAGTATTGTAACAGTGATAAGATTATATTTGTGTGTACATATATAATGATCAACATCTATAGTAATCGCCACAATGTCATAAATACTTGAATAATATATATACTCCTCCGGTTCTAAATATAAAACCCATTTTACTGTATATATTACACTACAAAATGGGTCTTATATTTAAGACTGGAGAAGTATGTTGTACTTCTATAAATTTATTTGGCGGGGAATTTTTGATGGGGCTGATGAAGTATGGAGGAGGCCGTCGATGGAACAAAATCGCAAAGGACTTCGTGAAGAACAAGACAGGAAGACAAGTTGAGAAACATGCCACAAGTTTCTTCATTAACTTCCTCCAAACGTATCTGAATTCATCTGCACCCGCCATAGCTTGTAGCAGCAGCAGCAGTAATAATAATAAAACTGATCTCATGGCCACATAATTGGCCTCTGCTCTGAATCCAAACCCTAAAAATAATCAGATGAAGGAAGAAGAAGAAGATATAGGCCCACCACGAACCCTCATGCTCTTCTCAAATGGAGGAGCCGGTTGCAGCCGTAATGTGATCTCTGAGGTGGCGAACACTACAAGATCATGTGTTAATGTTGATGATGATGGAGAAGTTGATTTAGAGCTGCGCCTTGGTTGTCACAGATACTAAAAGATTACTATCTTTAATCCTAATTATAAAACTTCATTCGCAAACTATAAACGAGGTTTTATAATTATGATCGGAGTTAGTAATAAATTAGCCACAAAATTTGCAAATTCTATAGGAAAAAAGATCATTGTTGATTAATAGGTTTAGATAGGACACGCAGAAGTTTTTTCTTTTGTGCAAATTTATCCCAAAAGTTTAAAATCATAATAACATTATCTTTTACAGTTAAAAATTTTAACATTCAATGCCACTATTTCAATTATGAATATTAGTCTTTTAATTATAGGAGCAATATTGCTATGATTTTAAATTTTTGAGATAAATTTGCATTAAAAAAAATTAAAAGTGTCTAGTGATCCTGAGTAAAGAATTTTGAAGCAAATTTGCTCCTTAAACCTTAATGATAATATGAATTATAGAACGCAGACGATGATATAATAACTATTATATTATTATTAAATTATGGAAATTATGGGAGAAAAAATAAAAGGAATAGGACAGAATGTAGTGGGAGTGTTTTCTCTATAGTGGCCACGGGGGCACACTGTGTAGGTGCCTTCCCCTGTAGACGCATGCACATGGCTTTGCTTTAATACTTCTCCGGTTATAAATATAAAATCTTTATATACACTATAAAAAAAGATCTTATATTTAGAACCGGAAGAGTATTATGCACCTCTTTGACCTTTGACCAGAGCATTCAATAATGAATATCTTTGTGAACATTTCTATTCTTTTATTTGCAAACATTTCTTTTCTGGGATTTCAAAAAGCCAGAAGCACAAAAGAACAAAAGCACTATGTATTGGTGCATACGCCATATAGAGAGAGAATTACTCTCAGACAAACTTGTGGCGAGCGTACGTAAAATGCGAGCACACGGAACGTTTTCCTGTGAAAGCTGCAAAAGGCCAGGAATGAACATAATGTCGTGTTTCTTTTTTTCTGATTTTAAATATAAGAATTAGATGTATATATATTTAAAAAATTAATTAAATTAGTTATTTATAAAAAATGTATATTGATTTTTTTGTAAAATGTCTCTTTTAAAGTATCATTTGCATTAAAAACTACTACGTACTCCTCAGGTCTTATTTATTAGTTATTTCTAAGATATTTCATATAGACTAACGAAAACCTTAAATTTTATTAATTCTCATTTAAAATTTAATAAATTTTCAACTTTATCCTTATTTACTATACATATATACCTCATAAAATCAACACAATAATAAATAAAAGATAAAATTATATATCCGTATAAAAAATTTCTTTCAGTACCCTATAAATAGGACAAATGTCTTCTTTCTCTGTCCTACAAATAGGACCAAAGGAGTATCTCTCAATAAAAACATCTTTCGACATGTTCAATAATTAGGAAGATTTTAAGGAAAAATAAATAAATTCAAGAGACAAAAGGTATTGAGACTAAGTCTTATATTTAAACCCACAAAAAACAACAAACAGGGATTAGATCTATTAGAAAGAATTCGTTCCTTACAATATAATAAATTATATTTAAATTTTTTCGTGAAAGATGTCCATATTTAGTCTCTAATTATGTCTTCAATAAAAGTCAAATAAAGTTTTATATTAAAGACCGGAGGTAGTATTTTCTTTAAACTTATAAATCTCCCTTCTCTTATGACATTTCCTAATGTATGTGAGGCAAATGAGTAATGTGGATGATGATGCTAGACGCACATGTTAAAAACCATGATTGTATTTCGTCTTTTGTATTTAGCCTCCAACAAATATCGTGAATTTTTTTTATACAAAAAAATAAAAATGATTTGGACCCCAGGAGTTCAATAAGGTCAAATCATACCTTGAGACTCAAAGAATACTTACAAAAATATATAAGAAAACCTGCAGTTGAATAGATAATCATTAAATAGATAATCATACCTTGAGCAAATATTTGAGGTGTAATTCGTAGCAAAGAAATTTTTGTAGCAAAGAACTTTTAATATGAATATATTATTTTACACATTATTTGTTATTGTATAAATTCTTATTTTCTTATATATATATATATATATATATATATTAAATAAGGGTTCGATGAGACGGGGAAGACGAAAACGTTCCAGCTGCCTGAGACGCACCAGATTTTGATCGGATCGGTTCTAAGATTTTAGCAATAGTTTTTGAAAAATTGGAAGGAAATTATTTTAATTCTAAGTAATTTATTCCTTACTTATTATAAATAAACCCCCCCCCAAATTATTATGGGTTAATTCGAAGAATATTCTAATTTGGTTTCAATTTTAATCATATTCATATATGACAAACGTTTTTGTTTTTGTATCACTTTTATAAGAAGCAAGTAAAGCAAGGCATTTTATTATTTATATAATATTTATTTCATTCCCAAAAAAAAAAGAATTGAGGGGAGCTGAAATCGTTTTCTATTAACATGGATGTCTCTCTTTTTCATTTCTTATTTTTGGCCACAAGATGTATGTGTCTATTTTAACCATAAAATGTGAATCAGAATACTATAATTATTTGTTTACTTTAGCAAGAGTGAAGTATAAATAACAAAATAAATTTTTAAAAGGAGAAAATTATTATATATTAAATAATTTAAACAATTGCGTCGGCCTACAAACAATTTTTTTCAACATAACGAACATTTTGGGACCAAAGAATACAAAAGTAATGCATTATTACAAATGTACATGAAATTTTCTTTTTTACTTTAAAAATCTAAAATTATTATGTTTTACTATTCAAATTAAAATCAACATGGGTAACTGAGAATGGGTGAGTAAAACCTACAAAGTGATATTAATTAAAAAAATAAAAATATAAAAGTAATTCATAAAATTTTTTATATTGATTATACTAAATTATGAATATTGATGGATTTAATTTCAATGATTTAATACTTCCTTATACCAATTTTTTATTTTTAAGCGGAATATTTTCATGAGACTCACTTATCAAACTTGCATTTTGAATATTTTACTTTTTAATTTTATAATATAATCATTTTTTAAAATATTTCAATTATCGGAATTTGTAATATATTTAAACCAAATTGTTACCATTTTTTGTATTTTAATATTTAATGATACTTTTAATAACTATATGCTGATAAATTCTTACAAGATTACAATAGGAATTCGCAATGCGATTTTACGTTCTTGTTACGCGTTTTTTAATCTTGGATACAAGTACTCTCTAGTCATAAATATAAAACGTTTTCTAAAAATAGTGTTTCTATCAAAATATAAGTAATATTGTAATACTGTCTTTTTTCCCCTAAGTTTATCCTTTTCTTGTTTAATGTGAGCTACAAAATGGTTTAGGAAACTCTACCGTTAATATAGCTAATAATGATAAATTTGGCTTGACAAAAAACGAAGAAAATAAAATTGTGTACGTGTAATATTTTTTAGAAAAAAATAATAACAAAATAGTTTTTAAAATTTAGGATAAATTGCACAAAATTCCTCAAAACTTTAAATAATGTACAAATAATATTATTAACCTTCAAAGCTTAAAAAAAAAATCAACCGCCAATTATAAAATCTTTTAAACTTCATTTTTATACATACATAACATCAAATTTTGAGTTATATGTAAATAATTTCTTAAAAATAATTTGTGCTTATAAGTGACAAACTAAATACTATCTATGATCCTAATTATAAAATCTTATTAGTAGATTATAAATAATGTCTTATAATTAGAATCAGAGGTACAAAGCAAATCAGATGGATAGATATGATAGTTTGCCGGGTTTATTGCAATAGAAGTGTATATTTTAGCCTTGTTTTCTTTGGACGACCTTGTGCTTCTCAAAATTATTTAATATCTATCAATTATCAATTGTGCTTCATAAAATTATCACTTGACCGTTGTGCTTCAAAAATGGATTAATTAAGGTAATTTAGACATTAAAACAAGAAGAAAGAAAGAAGACCGCAAACATTAGGACATGATCTTCAATCCTATCAAAACAAGTAAAGCCAAAGCGCCTAGGCTCATAAAGACACTCAAGAAAGCAATTTAACCGAATTTCTTAATAAATAATAAGTTTATGGAGTTGTAATTCATAAAAATATAATAGCATTATGTAATATTTATAACCGAATCTATTTAATGAGATAACACTTATTATTGCCGCTACCAATCATGCCCCTACAAGTTCAACAAAAATTAAACGGAAAAAAAAGAAGGCATGCCTCATTAGGTTACTTGAGTGCTTTAGGTTTGTTATTACCAAAAATCTTAATTCCTCCTTTTATTTGGGAGGAAAGAAGCTAAAGAAAGTGGCCATAAATGAACTAATGGAAAATGAAGAACATTTGAAAATTTTCATGACAACCTACAATACTCTGATTACAGCTTGACAAGCGGCCTAAAGAATCAGAACTACAATACAACCAACTACCTCTACAAGATTTTCAACACCAAACCCTTCTACCATTTATAAACATGATCTATAATAAACAACAGATATTTGTATCATGTTGCAACTTTCATCTGATATTAAGGCACACCCAAGCAGTAAAAATTTCACAGGGCAGATTTACCCCAACAAAAAGATATTCTGTATTATGTTACACACACTCATGCATGTCTTGATGGGTCCTCATGCAATTGTGTCGGTCTTACATTTGGATCATCCTGCCACAAGCAGCGAGCCATCATGATAGTGTTAGTCTGGAAGTGAATACGATCTAAAAGTAACTTAATTTACCAAACTTACCCGAATGCCATAAGTGAAATTTGTTGATGCACGGAAAAAATCAAGCTGTGCCTGCAAATTTTGGAACAATTTATGAAGTTCAGCGAAAATATTACAGTGGCAGGAAAAGCATGTTCAGCGCAAGCAAACCTTACCAGACCAGGCATGCTTTGATGAGCACCATAGTAACCATCGTGGCTTGTTGGTATGGAACTTAACTGTCCCTGTATTCAAACAACAGAGTTTCTAAAATTTTGCACTCGCGCTAAATACTTTCCATAATTATTCACAATTTCAAAGACGCACCAGCCCCTGAATTGTCTGTTGATTCCCATAATAATTATCACGTGTTGGTCCCATCAAGTTCAACTGAAAAATCAAATAAACAAATACATTAGTCCAGGTACTAATGTGAAACCACCAAAGGTAAACTAAAGAGTATCATATACTTACCATTCCCTGAACGCTCTGTTGAGAGCCATAATAACCATCTAGGGTTACTGCCCTTGCGTTGAATTTGTCCTACAAAATAAATTTCCAATTAACTGAAGACACTTCAAACTAAGCAGATACATCCTTTCAACTAAGATGGAGCTTCTATTTTAAACTTCAATATTTCTCTTTTTGTTTGCTTTAAATAAATATTTCCCCGTGTAGCCTGACTTTCTTCTTCACACACCACACCTTAAAATATAAAATTGAACAATTTTAGAGATTAACAACCATAGGAAGACTAACCATTTGCTGCATGTTATCCTGTGCCCCAACTGTCATGACTTCAGATTCGGAGTTCAGCTGCAATTCAAAGCAGTCATGATATAAACTTAAAACAACATAGATAGGTATGTGCTCTGAAGCAAACAAAAAGACAAAAAGAAAAAAGAACCTTTTTCTTTTTAGTTGGATTTTTCTTTTTGTTTGTCTTGCCCATATTTCTACTCTGGGTATCTTCTTCAGCAGAGAGCTGACTGTGACTAGCTGACATGACAACTTCGGTAGGACTCTTGCTAGAATTGTTCACAGTCACACAACTTTTGTATGCTTCACGTAACGCATGGAATGCAATACTATAACTGTCTTGAGATAGAGATCCCTCTTCACTCAACTTCATTGCTTGCCGACATAAATCATTGTATCGTTGTACCCTAGCCAGTACATGTTCGGATTCTTCTCCCATTGTTTGTCTATCTTTAGCATCTCTCGTCCACCGTTTCAAGATATATCGGGATGGGATTACCGAAAGGCCAGAATATTGAAGAACAATCAATGCATGTCGACAAAGAAAACCTCTATATTCAAATAACCGACATATGCATGACACTTCAGATTTAATTTCATTCCACACAACAATGAAGTCTTGATTCTTTTCCATATCATGAACCTTGTAAGTAATGCCTGCATCATCCTGTCTTTCAGCTTTAGGATGACAAGCAACTGCACCGATAACCTCGACTTGAATCTTCTTGAACACTGCATGTGTGTAACTCCCTGCAACACTCTTCTCCAATGGTGAAGGAGTTTTTAATGTTGCCCCTTTATTCCATGTCTCAGAATCACCTTTTGCTTCCTCTTCATACCTGTCTTGCAAGATTGCTTCATACTGCTTGACAAAATCTTGCACAGAGGTCTTCTTATGTACATATTTATCAAAGAATGAATTCACACTTTCTGATCGCTGGACGGTGGACAAACCACCTAAGAAAATATCCCTCATGAATGTTGGCACCCATAACTTGCGATCTTCATACAAGGACTGCATGCATTCATCCTCTTGGAGTCCAAACCTATCAACAATTTTCAACCACCTCTTCTCAAACTCATCGTTTGTCCATGACCTATAGATGCATTTTTCAAATTTTGCCATAAAATTCTCACGTTGCTTAATTACACGAGATAGATTTTCAGACACCTTCCCCAACACATGCCATAAACACATGGAGTGACGAGCATTAGGAAAGACATCTAAAATAACTGACTTTAATGCCTTGTCATGGTCAGTGATGATCACTTTCGGAGCATGGCCACCAACTCCTTTCAGCCATGTCCGCATTAGCCAAGAATAAGTAGCAGCACTTTCATCTGATATTAAGGCACACCCAAGCAGTATAAATTGATAGTGATGATTTACTCCAACAAGAACCGCAAGGGGTAACTTGTATTTGTTTCTAACATAGATGGTGTCAAAAGAAACTACATCACAAAAGTTCATATAGTCATGCCTACTTTTAGCGTCAATCCATAGAACATTTTTCAGACGTTGATCCTCACCAATATCTACCGCGTAAAAGAAGTTTGAATTCATACTGTGCATCTGCACCAGAAAATCAAGTAGAAGCTTCGCATCCCCCAACTCCAGGCCCAAATTCCGGCCTTTGTCAAATGGACTTTTCTCATTCTTAAGACCAACCACAGTTTTGTATTCAGCAAACTGTCTAGCCATTGCAGCGTACATTTTTCTTGTTTGCTCACTGACAGCTTGTGCTGGTAAAAGCTCATGATTATGCTCCTTCACAAAACTATGTATTACCCATTTTCCATCAGGCCTTCTTTTTACATGCATGCTTGCTCTACAATCAGTCTTAGAACAAGATCTTCGACCAGTTGAATTTTCAGCATCTTGCTTGTTCTGTCGGGCACGGGGTCGATTGAATGATTTGTCATGCTCTCTTTTTGTCCCATACCTGGAACAAGCAAATTTTGCATCTATAAATTCTCTCGATGTTTTCGAACGGCGACTATTTTGTATTGCAGTGTTGAATCCCATTGACCTTGCATATTCTTGGTAGAAAGAATAAGCTTCCCCATGAGACTCAAATTCCATGCCAGAAAGGGGCTCAAGATTTGTCTCTTCCTTAAATATCGCCATATCCACTGTAGATGAATTCAAATCTCCACTATCTAGAGCATGCGCATCAACACTGGCACCAACCATATTCTGGCCTTCTAGATCGCCGGTATGCAATTTTTCTTCATCTTCCAATATGTCAGCAATTGTATTTTGTTCTTCATCCTTATCGTGGTCACCAGAAGGTAACCTTAGATCTATGTCCATGATGACAACAGCTTTCAGCCTGATGATTTTCAGCAGTACCTTAAAATTCCAAAAAACAGAACTGATGTCAAGCATGGAAAAAGTTAAAAAAGAAAAGCTAACTGCAAGAGAATGGGAGGGAGGAAGAGCAACAAAGAGACCAATGCTTAAGGCTGCATCTGATTCTTTGTTTGATTGCTTGCATCCATCAGAGTACAGTGACTCTTATTTAGGAGAAGAGTTGTGTTAGCCCAGATCCTTGTCATTTTTCCCTCTAGCCAAGGCATGCAAGTTTGGAATATGTAATACTTTTGAGAAATCCTATTTCCATTTCATAACTCATTCTTCTACAAAGTAATGTTTTGTTCATAATTAAAAAATTTGGAAACATGAGCTCCCCAAAACAGCAAATCCTTAGTAATGCAGTACTGAAAAAGGAAAACAAAGATGTACTTTTGCAGGTTTGATGACCCATATACCTTTTTCTCTAATGTGTTAGATGACGATCTGAATCAGATTCAGAAATTTTGGTTAGTCTACAGTTTCATTTCCCAGCAGTGTTAGATTTGGAAAAGACTCTAAGGTATTTTGGGAAGCATTAGGCGTACCCTGCTGCCTTGGGTGAGGTCCTCCAAACTTATCTTGATGATTTGTTAAAATGAAGAAAAACAACACTTTTGAGTTTTGTTTGGTTTGCTTGAAGAGGAATGCTAGTATCTTCAATGGCTTTCTGTTATTTTTACATCTGTTGTGGAATATAATTGCACATTCCCAATCATGTAACCTTTGTTTCTATATAAAAGAAGAAATTAGTATAGAAAGAGAAAAAGGAGACTAAAAATTAAGAAAAATGAATGAAAAATTACATTTATGGAAAGATAAACATCACAGTAAATACAGAAATATAGCAAGATAGCAAAGCCATTGGCCCCCCTGCCTGTCTGTTAAACGGATACTCTGTAAGGACACCAAGGTAAAGTTATGAAAATAATTCTGTCCCAAAGCAAGTCTAGGGACAATGTCTCTATGTTAAAGATCCAGCCCCAGACAAAGACAAGAAGGAACCGCATACTATACAATGCAAAAGCAATTTTCCCTTCTTACTCTGACGAAGAAGTTAGTTAAGAGAAACGCTATAAACAGTGAGAGAACTGAAAATTTGTAAAACACTAGTATGCCAGCTAAAATGTAGCAGAAAGTGAAAGATATGCAATGAAAAATAAAGGTGGTTGGAGTGTTTCTCTTTCTGGATTAGGGCAACACATCACAGGTATATAAAGAGAGAGAGCCTCATTTGACAATGCTACATCTAATCATTAGAAGGAACTTGGGATCTTTACAACAAGGCTTTTCTTGCAATACATAATTGCAAATTATCCCATTACTGGTCTTTCTCACCTGGACTGAACTTCCCACATGCACCATCATAATATCTCGTCAATGGCCAGCCATCTATAGCTATCCCCATAACATTGAAGTACCTCTCACCATGGCAGTTTATATTATTTCTTCTTGGCGGATTTGAGAGCCTTGAAAAGCTTTTTATTATCGAACAGCCCGAGTCCTGGACCACTTGGAATGACTGACAGAAGAAAGAAAAGGGGGGAGGGCACAACTAGTAGCTTCTGCCAATCTAATGGGAACTCAAGTGGGAATACCAATCCACTTAAATATCTCATTAGGCATCTCATACTACTTACTCTGAGACTTAACATTCCATACTATTTCAACCTCCATTAATCGCTGCCCTGAGAGCAAACATCCAAGCATTGACACTCTATGACATGACTCAGTATTATACTAGTTAGAACCTTTGACAGATAGCCCTTTTCTTAAGGTTGCCGATAGCCAAACTCTAAATCAGTTGATGAATAGTCAAGTGTGAAGGAAAATACTCCCTCAAAAGCTAACTATTGAGACGGTAGTACTAACCCACTTAAATACTCAATAGAGGATCCCATCCTTCTCAAGGTGAGATTTAAGAATCCCACACCACCTTAGTCTCTCTCCATTGCACTCAAACTGAGGCCAACACAAACTAAAACCCATGATCAGCCGCCGACATATCTAATGCCATAAATTGCCAATCACTCTTGCCGGCCAACCGCCACACCCATTTCAAGATACCGCTCATGGAATTTCATTTTCCTCAAATACCATATTATGTCCCCAAAAAAAAAAAAAGTATTCAATTTTCTCAAGTCCGCTTTAAGTTCAGGAAAAAATAAAAAAAAGGATAAATAAATTCAAGTTCATTTGGAAACAAGCAACTAATTTCATCCAAAAAATCATTGCAAGCTAAAGAAGGTTGAGCCATTAACAAGAGGCCTCATTAACGATCTTTCTATTATTATATTTTCAAGGTTGCTTCTAAATTCTCACTTCTCATCTGTTCACTCATCATTGTTGATTGCCAAATGGAGCGTAGAACTTGGAATTCCAAACTTCTATAGTGAGTTCAGTATACAAAGCTTACCAACACTCAAATATAACAGTAACAGATTTTCTTTCCTTGTCACTAATATATTATCCATGTTATTGGGAAAAATTAATGATATGTGCTCAATTCCGCATCACATCATTTCTTTAAAGCTACTGTATGCAATCGTTTCCAAGACTTATACAAAAACAGAACACATTTAAGACTTCAAAAAAAATTACATTTTTCATACCAGCACCATAATTCTGTCCTCGTCGTTAATATCTTCTCCCAAAGTTATCAAAAACCCACTCTTGATATATGCTAAATTCCTCAGGTCAAAAAGAGATACTACCTCTCATCCTTAATATAAGAACTTGTTTAACTTTTATTTTGATCCTAAATATAAAATCTCAGTTCACTTTGTCTCCCATATTTATCAATTTTTTTTCAAGATAGTCTTTGTAATAAGGATATTTTAGGAAAAACACCTATTTATTAGAAATAACTAACTTAACTAATTTTCATAATCTACTTAAATTAATCGATTAGTTCTTATATTAAAGACCCGAGATAGTATATGCTAAATTCCCACATGGCCTCATGTCCATGTCTTTAAAGCAGTATGCAATTATTTCCAAGCCCCCGAGTATAAAAATAAAATATATTTAAGACATCGAACCCAAAAAAAAAGGAAATGGAAGAGATAAGAGGTGAACCACAAACCAAAGAACAAAAGATACAAGAGAAAAGAGAGGGAGGGTACCTCTCTGATTACATGAAAGAAGGTGCCCTTCTCAAGTTGGCCAGAAGCTGGAAATCTCACGCGAGAGGCCGGGCGAGTGGACGAACCCCGCTCTTCAACTCTTCAAATTTTTATTCATAGGGTTTCCAAAGGCCCCTCCTCACTTCCAATCCAACTGTCATACTTCCTCACTTGCGCCATGGAGTGGCGCGTGTCGTCCAATCTCGGCCCACCCTGAGGATTCGGAGTGATGCTTCTGCTATCTCCCGCTCTGCCAATTTCAAGCTTTAATCTCGCTCTAACAAGAAACTCTAGGCGTATGATTACTCAAGTATATCTTCAGCTGCCCAATTCTACACCCAGAAAAGAAGAAAAAGGAAACACTACCAAATTAACACGGCAAAGACTACATACATCAGCATATTCAACAATGTAATTATTAAGCAAACAATGAATTTTCTTACAGAAATAAATGAATTAAGGAAACCAAAAATCAACTTCATCAGCATGTTCAACTGCATTAGGTTAAATCAAAAGATAACCAAAGGCCAGAGCAGCCGGCGACCATCACCAGAGCACTAGGAATTCCTAATCGCCCGAAACACATGTTGGGAACTTTTGAAAGAAAAAAGGGACAGAAAGAGAAACTAACCAGTTGACAATCTATCTGTGAATCAACCCTACGCCGTTGCCGGAAAAGAAGCCGAGACGGAGGGAACAAATATGGTTGAAGAACAATAAAAAGTAGTTAAGAACGAACGGAATTATACAAGAAGTGGGGTGGGGGGCAGAGTTTGGCCCCGGATGAACATTTTTGGGTCCTTGAAGGGAAGGAAGGAGACCCAAATGGATCAAACCGGGTTAGCGGATTAACCACAAATTATCCGGTCCGGTCAGATTAGCTGTCCTCCTTGCTTCTCAAGGCTCATGTCATTGTCTTTTTATCGCCTTACTTCTCATCGTCATAACTTGAAAATTGAAACCATGTTCTGTTATTGTTATGAATCATACCAATCAAGTCTGACATAAACGGATCTATTAGGTCATCTTGTTTTACCCTTGGAAAAAAAAAGGGGGGCTGGATTGCCAGGAAGTTTCTCATTTGAGTCAAAACGCTAAATGTGCAATTTTGTTTTTGTCAAAGCCAAATGTGCAATTTTATTTTCTCATGTATAATTTTATCCTTGATTTTTTTTTTCACAATTTTGCCTTTAATATTTGAGTAAAATTACGCAATATATAAAGTTTATGAAATTATAAAAATTAAAATCAACAGTTTGTCTGCACAAGATTAAGTGCCTGTTTAGATTAGTGATTAGAAAAATAGCTTATAAGAAAAATAGCTTATAGAAAAGTGAAGTTGGTAAAAGTTAAATTGTATAAACTAAATTGTATTTATATTGGAATTCAAAAAAATTGGTTTGTAAAAATGAGATTGGTAAAAAATTGTTTGGATTATAGTTGAGTAAAAGTAAGTTTGGTTGAAAAATTACCAAAATGAAGATGAGTTTTAATAAATAATGAAACATGATAAAAAAAAATAATTTCACATAATACAATGAAATTAAAATAAATTAATATGAAGAAGTCAAATTTAATAAGTGAATTAAATTTTAAAATTTTAGAGAAATTATAAAAAAGTATTTTAAATATAAAATGAAACATGAAAAAAAAAGAATTAAGATAATATAATGAAGAAGTGAAATATAATGAATGAATTAAAATCAAAAAATTTAAAGAAATCATAAGAAATATTTTAAATATAAAGTGAAACATGGTAAAAATAAATAAATTGACATAATACAATAAATTTGAATTAATTTGATATGAATAAGTGAAATTCATTAAGTGAATTAAATTTGAAAACATCTGAGAAATAGAAAAAAATAAGGCCAATATAAAGCGAAACATTATTTGAATTGATAAAAATGTTTTAAACTCCAATCTGCAGTATTGCGAATTGCGACAAAGTGAAATGAAATAATAATATTACATAATTAATTAATTGATAAGCTATGGATAATTGGTTTCTGATTGCATCACGGAAGCGATTCATATGCGATGAAGATTGTGAATTAACATTTGAAGACGATGGTTGACTAGCTTCAACCTGATCATATTTGCTAACTATATTACTATTTTCAGCTTGTTGAAAATAGAAGTCAGAGCTTGAATGTCTCTTTATAAGGTTATGAATAGCCATTGTTGCACAACCATGTACACTTGTGTTTGGAAGTCGTAACTACGCATATTTTCGTTGCCACAACTCATCGGAGGCCAATACCCTATTTGTGGCTGCATCATAACCAATTCTAGTCTCTCCACACACTAGTTTATCCCACAACTTCCAATCTTTTCTCAATATATCAAATTTATTCTTCAATTGACTCTTGTCATACTTTCTCCTGCTCTTTTCATATAAAAAATTTTCAATTTTCCCCCAACCGGGCTTTGTAAACGATATTCCTTGTCGTTTCTTGTGCGTTATTTGCTCGATGCAAACATCGATTAGAATCTTTGTCGTGTAAGGATCTCATGTCGCTTTTCCCTTATCATTATCCATTTCTCTATGCCTTTTGATCGAGAGAAGACTAATTGAATCAACCAAAATCCTAAATGTGTAATAATAAAAGCCATATTAGGTAACACGTACATTGTCACCAACCAAACATATATATTATTTTCTTAATATTATTGTACGTGTTTTTGTTATCAAAACTCCGATTATTATTATGAAGTCATAAAATATTAATTAAGACATTGTAATTGCAAAAGCTGTTTAGTTTTCTTATTCAAAATTTTTTAAATTATAAATATTTAATCACTGGTATTTGGTTGTGAACATTTTTTTCAAAATTGAATTTATCAATTATGTTTCTTATTGTTTGAAAAACAATTGTTCATCTTTGAATTGGAGATGCCATATTTTAATAGAAACTTAATTAGGGAGGACAATGTAGTAGTTAATTACACTATCAACAACTTAATTAAAGGGACAAAAAAATAGTTTTAAAATTAGTTTCTTCAGTCTGTGCAAGCTGTTCACATAAAACCACTGAAGTCATAAAAATTAATACATTAGCAACAACAAGTCTTTTTAATTTTGACATAGAATTTTTCCTGCTTAATAGATAAGCATTTGCTACTAATAGGAAAGTCTTTTTCATATGAAATTGCAAATTGAGGTTAGTGGATTGACACCGACTATGAATTAATTTTTTGTACATTTTTCTTTCAAAATTCTAGCAGCATTGTAGCCGAATGATTAGTATAACACAATCTCATATACACATATACACAAGCTCATATGCTCATATACACAATCACATATCCAGAATGATGATCACAAGCTCTATGCAGATCTATTGCTTCAACAGGAGTAGCCATTAATTCACCTCAAGAGCTGGCACAAGATGACCAAAACCACGAAGGGGGGAAAAAATCAGACCACTAGCGAGCAGAAACAAAGCACCACAAAAACCAGAAGGAAAAAAAAATAAAAACAACCACTGGCCAGTAGAAACAGAGGACCACAAAAACCATAAGGAAAAAAAAACAAAAACAACCACGACAAGTAGCACGGAGGAGAACTCTTGATTAAACCAATTTTCAGGCTTTAATTTTAAGGCTTTCACTGGCGACCAAGGACGACGATAGCAAATTCAACCACAGGGGATCGAACCAGAAAAGCAAGAAAAAAAATTACCGCCCAACCTGTAACAGATCAAACCAACCGAAAGCTGCCAGAGGTAGATCCAATGATGAATCAAACTAGCAAGGCAAGATCTCCACACACAGCTCGAAAGCACAGGTAGACGGCTACGATCTCGGTTGCAGATGGCAGGACCAGCTTGGACTTGCGAGGAAGGAGCAGCCTCCAGCAGGCCACGCACACCTCACACCCACCACGCTGACCTCATGATGATGACAAAGCAGAGCTCACAACGACTAGGGAGGGACCTTCTGCGAGGTGACCAATGACGAAGCAAGGGTGGGAGTTCTGGGTTAAAAAAAAAAAAAAAGGAAGCGAGCTTGAGGGAGGAAAAGGCAGATGGGAGAGGAAAAAAAGAATCAATTCTCTAACATTGCAAAACGGCTAATATTAAACTCTTCTAATAGATGATAAGCTCCTTCTTGGAGCTTATTTTAATTGGGTGTTCATATAGCTTAAAAATGCATAAACCCAATGAGCTATAAGCTCTGCCAAACTGACCCATTCTGCAAACCCAGCTTATTTTAAAATTTAAGCCGTAAAGAGACCCTAAATGCTTATGAATCGACATAATTCAAAATGAATTAAATGTCCTTTTTGCTAAAGAGTATTATTGTATTCGAAAGTCTGTTTCCCTAATCTCTGAAATTGTTATAAAAAATAGTAATAATAAAGCAACTATCTATTAAATGGGTTTTTTGGCATAGATACAAATCAACAATATACTCGCCGGAAACAATTTTAACTATTAAATACAACTAGTATTGATGATTAATATTTTTAACAAGTAGGATAATAAAATAATACTCATTTTTAACACTTCAATAATGGATATTAAGCCAAAAAAATTTCTAAATACTTACAACTCTTTGGCAAGTAATTCCAAAACAAAAATGATCCTTAACTCATTTAAAATTGACAACATAAATTATCAGGATCTATAGATTATTTCTTTAAAAGAAATATGCTACCTCCGGTTCTTAATATGAGAATTCATTTGACTTTTATTTTGATCTTAGATATAAGATCCCAATCTATTTTTTCTCTCATATATATGTATTTTTTCTCAAGGTAGTTTTTCTAAGAATAGTAGTTTTAGCCAATACACCTTATTAGTAAGGATATTTTAAAAAAGTTAATATCTATTTATTACAATAACTAACGTAACTTATTTTTTTAATCTCTTTAAATAAATTAACTAGTTTTTATAATTAGGATTGAAGGTGGTGTTTAGTAATTTAGGGGTAATAATGAAATGGGAGGTTTATTAAAATAATGAAACAGGAGCTACCCAACTTTTAAAATTAGGTTCCCAATGCTTGCATTGCTGATCCCTTTTTTTTGGGTCCGTCCATCCAAATTTATTGATGGAAAGATTTTTGGTTTCGTCTCTTTCAGCTCTTAGTTTTTACCCAATAATTAGTTTGGAGAATCTTTTCATTGGGGGATAATATGACCTTAGTTTCATTTTGGATTTTGCTCCCAAAAAAAAAGGCTTTTAATTATGTGAACTTTTGAATATAGCCACATTTTTGCAGTGTCCTTATTATTTTGCACCAAAATCATGTCTTTTCTTTAAGTTTTAAAATAGTATACATGAAGAATTATAATGAGGTTGTAAGAAAAAAAGTTATCAGTAAATCATAATAATAAGTAAATAGTTGTCATTTATAACTTTAAAATTTCTCATTACCTTGTTGTTTTTTTAGTGTGATTATATTCCTTACTTGGATTTTATAGCAATTTTCCTATTATATATAACAGCAAGTGAACCCCAAGAGTTTGGACACATGGAGCATGAAAAAAATTTGAATCTAACACAGGTTTGAGTTTCCATTTGTCTCCTTGAAAGGAGATAAATGTTAGTCCTTTCTAAAGGTTTAAGGTGTGCTTAAATTAGGAGTGACATAAGTAACTTTTTTTTTTTCAATCTAATTTTTACAAAAATCAGGTTGCAAAAAAATCAAATAGTATAATATAATTTATATTTGAATTTATTTTTCTAAAAAAGTTAGTTTGATAAAAATTTGTTTAGATAGAGACCCAAAATAAGAGGAAAAACACAAGAAGAAGTGAAGATAAAGAAGCAAGAAGCAACTACAAGTTACCTTTACCTCTTAGTTTAGAAATTCATACAAATCCATCTATCTAGTATCCAAAACATATCCTTATTGACTGAGCCTGGAGGCTTTTCCTCCTTAGATTAGGTGCCATCTCTTGATTTAAAAAGTACAAATTACACATCAGTTCTTAAATACTTGAGATAATTCAATCGGATCATTAACTAATAAGCAAACCAGAGAATTTTTTCGGGAATGATATATTCCTACTTATAACATGCATTCATATTATGGATGAAATTTTAAGTATTATTTTTTTATTTTTCTATGATTAGTTATTGGTTAGTGTCATTGCATTAATTACTTCCTATTTCTATTTGTTCACTCTTTTCCGCTCACTTTCTTTTCCTAAATAATAATATTTTTAACAATTAAATTAATTTTCAGGAATGATATTTATTAATTTTAATAAATTTTAATTCATTTTTCTCCATCATTCAATTCAATTCAAGGATATATAACTTATAAAAAAAAATAGAAAGGAGTAATAATGATAAAATAGCAATAATAATAATAAATCACAAATGATGATGTTAATAAATAATGTATGCAAAATTTGGACACGTCAAATTTTCTCATCCCTGGGATTAAGACGACAGACTCCCTCCAGAATCATCGTCTTCCTGTCTCGTTTCCCTCCGTACCGCAGACTGTCCACAGTACATTAGACCCTGAACCTGAATGTCTAAACCACTGATCGACAACGAGATGTTTGCTTCGATCCCGGCGGTGCGGCGGAGATCAGACCGGAGTTCTCCATCGACAGGAATTGAGTTGGCTGCCGACGATGAGATCGTGACTCCAAACGGAGATGGCAGAGCTTTAAGCCATCGCTTGCTCAATTGCAAGGCGATTCTGCAGCTAAGGATTTCGGAGGAAGGTTTTATCGAAGCCGTGGTAGCTCATTGTAGTTAGTATTTTTGCGAAACACTTCGCTTATTCTTGCGGGGTTAGGTTAGATTAATACGTAATTTGGCTTTAAAATATGACGAAGGGTTTGGTGGGTAATGTTGCAAAATTTGAAGCTAGGATTGCTGGTGTGGGGGCATTGTTCAAAATTACCGCAAGAAATGATCCATGAAAAGGTCGAGGTCGAGGCTTGAGGTGTGGAGGACGAGGAAAAGAAGTAAATGATAAAATTAATGACACAGTAGTCATTCTGGAGAGAAGATCCAAGAGCTTAAACCGAAGAAGGCACGGAGAGATCATTGAGTGAAAGGAGGATTATAACAATTTGAAGAAGGTAAAAGAGGGAAGATTTACGACCATCGATATGTTCTAATAATACTTGCCCGCAATTTCTTGTTAGTTTCTGATGCAGTATGAATTTCTTTGTGTGCGTTTTTATATGTAAATGGGCACATATATTTCTGGTTTATGGTTCAGTTTGCCTTCTTTCGCCAATGTAGCTATTGAGAGCTGGATTTTACTCCGAACGCGAAGCCATAGTGCTGCCTATAGTCCCACATCGGTTATAACCAAATGTTTGTGCTGTTTATGAGCTATAAAAGGGAAACCCGAGAGTCATGTCAACATACTTACCTGGACGGGGTCGATGGGTGATCATGAGGGCCCATGGCCTAGGACTGTGGCCTCCATTGCACTTGGGAGGGGTGCTGCCCTAAGGTCTGCACAAGTGGCAGAGCCTACGTCATAATTTGTGGTAGTGGGGGCCTGCGTACGCGCGGCCCCCGCCCAATATAGTATTAATCTGTTTTGGCTGCGCACCAGCTGCCCAATGTAGCTTTAATCCCTTTTTATGTGTAAATGAACTCTTTATGGATTATAGGGCAGTGTATTTCTCCTCAGAAATCCGCGTGACTTGACTGATGGAACTAGATGATATTATTATGCATTCATGAGGAGTAAACTGTTGATCTAGGAATTGGCCGAGACATAGTTGGCGAGTATCAATTCCCTGGCACATAGGTTATGTTATACAAGCTATCTTACAGCAGAGACACTGGCATATCACGTGGTCTTTTTATTTTGTAAAGAACCTATGCGTTTTGTTTAAGGGTTTTAGAAAGAACTCAACTCTTGTTGGCTGTAAGAGTGAACCTTGCTTTGGATTTGGATAGGTCCATAACTTTCTTTCTCTCCTTTTTTTTTTTTCCCCTCTCGTATCTGTTTATATTGGAATTGAATCGAATGCATCGTACTGAATTTATGCTTGACCAAAGATCAAAAGGGGAAAAAGTGATATGGTTTGGCTGTAATAATAGTCAGTCTTGACTTGCGTATGGTTGATGCAGGTTTAGTCCTGTAGTGTACCAGAGAATATTGGAAAATGTGAGTTATTGCTTTTTATCTAATTCTGCTCTATTCGTCTTTTAGATCTGTGTCTCTTTTATTTTCTTTATATTTGATTGTAGGTCTCTGCTTCGTAAGTTGCATTGTTTATAACCTATGAAATAGGACATTTTATAGACCTTATTATTGATACTAATATATTGATTGTGCCTTTTTTCCTTTTTCTTTTTAGAATTAGACTGTTGAAATTAGGGATTGTGGTGTGCTTGTGTCTTACATTAGTATATTCAGCTTGAAAAGTTAATAAACATGTTTTATGCGCATGATAGTCCTGGAAGCGTTCACATTCAAAATTTGACTATGGCCGGTGACAAAACTGGCACACTAGTTATCTGTTTTTGACTTTTGCAAGAGATACTATCTCCTAAGAGAGAAGATAGGAAGAAGTAATGAGGAACATCATTACTGTCATCAATATTATTAGCAATATTACCAATGTTAATACTATTATTTATGATAGACATAATTGGAATGCCTCGTAGATATTGGGAGAACTTTTGTGAAATGTGTCTGATCTAATTTCTCAATATGTGCTTCTATTCATCTTGATGCCTCTGTTATAAAGTTGTTTTGATGAAGTTTCTTTTGGCGTCTCAAAAAAAGTGTTGTATATGAATATATATATTCCCTATGAAGAGGATTTATTAATAATTTTGCATAGGCTAAGAAGTTTAGTTAAAATCAGTTAACTTTACATAGACAATGGATCTTATATTAAAAAACATAGGACTGGTTCTTATATTAAAGATTGGGGAGAGTGGCATATTAGTTTATATAATAAGGTACTCTCTCTGATCCTAAATATAAGACTTTTTTTGTAATGTAATTTACACTGCAAAAAAGGTCTCAAATTATAATATAAAAAGGTCTTATATTTAGGACCGGAGGGGTATGATATATCAAACAAGCTCTAAAGATACTATAGAAGCCTGAATGGGAATACAGTTGGCCAAAGCACAATATCCCAAAGAGGATTCGTGCTCACCAAACGGCCAATCTTCTTTCTCTGACCTAGTGCAAGAAACTACTATTTTGGTTAGCGAAGAAGCTACTATACTTGTATTTAAAAAAGTTACATTTTACACTGTGATTTCAAACCTGCTCTCCAATTTTCTTCTCAACCACCTAGAGATTCGAATACAGAATTCATTCCGATTAACGAGGTGAGATATATATATATTTCTGCATCAATTTCTGTGAAAACATATATTATTTTTCTTCTGATTAGTTATATGCGTAGCAGTGATTAAGGTCTGATGGGTTTGAATGGAATTGTAAATCTGAAGGAAAGTAGAATCCAAAGTTGCCAACCAACCATATGTCTTCAACTCACATGATATATCAGATAAAAATCAATCTCTGCTCATTTTGCTTTGGAACTTGAAAGCTCTTACATTAGTCAAATGTATTGTCACATGACTCACCTGCAAATCCTTTATATGCAAGATATATTAATTATAGTTTAACAAATACGTATAAGACAACGCACTTCCTTAATGTTATTATTAATGATTTTTGTATTGTCATCTAGTGGCGTGTTTGTACTTTGTAGACTCAATTCATTTCAGAGTTTCATATTTGAAATGAAAATATCTAACCCTATGTCTAATCTCAAAGTTTTCTTCTTATTATTATTGTATATATAAATAGTCTCATTGATCAACTCATCATTATAAGAAGCAAAAGGCAAGTGAAGGAAATCCTCTAAGTCAGCAAATCAAGACCATGAAATTCTTCAGCAGCAGCAGCAACTCAATCATTGTCCTTATCTTTTCCATTGCAATAATCACGCTTTGCCTTTGGGTCAATGTGTCCATAGCTAGGACCCTTCCTCACCCGAATCCACCTCCTTCTTCATCTTCTTCTTTGGAGCAAAACAACATGTCTTCATCTCCATCTTCATCTTCATCATCTTCTCAAGCTTTCTCACACAGCAAACAAGGGCCAACCTCTGCTCATGATCGTCAGCCTGCTACTGTTTCTGCTAGCCTCAGAAGGATCCCACCAAGCAGACCAAACCCTACTCAGAACAGGTAACTTATTATTATTATTTATATTTTCTTCAGTTAAGTGTCCTCTTGTCCTTTTTGCATATGAAAAATAGGATCATCTAGAGTAACTTTTAAGTGAGATGAAGAGAAAGACAGGGAGGGGTAGATAGAAATCACTTGTATAGAGCTCAAGTGAAAAAGTTGCAGATCCCCTCTGTCTTCTTCTCTCACATTTTCTCTATCTTTACTTCAGTTTAAGTTTAGAGAGATCTTACTTCTCATATTGATGAATTTCTTGAAAACGGACACCAGATGAGGAAGTGTTTGTTAATTACCAGGTTAAGGCCTGGGGTAAGAGTTTAGATTGAGGAGCCTTGATGGAGCTCGTGAAGATGTTTCAGACAAATATGCAAAGCTGCAGCAGGAATACCATGTTACACATGAGCTGTCTGTTGCTTCACTTTTGGTGGGTTGATTTCAAGCTTCATAGTGTCGTATAGAGTGATATATATAGATATATATATATTTTCTATTTCTAGGTAGGTGGAAGAGAAGTGGTAAATGAAGTAAGAATGTTACTATTATGTAGTTTCTTTGGGTAATAGTTTGATGTTTTCAGTCTATAGAGCATAGCAGGATTACAAGAATGTAAAGGAGGACTTCCAAAGTTATCACAATCTTATAGTTTCCCCGGTAATTCTATATAAAGATTATTTTTATTTTTAGGGTTATCATACAAATTTGCCTCAAAAGTTTTTAACCAAGAGTGTCAGGCACTTAGAAGTATTTTTTGATGTAAATTTGATCCAGAACTTTAAAATGGAAGAAACATTGCTCCTTACTGTCAGAAAGTAACATTAATTGTTAATATTTTTAATAATAAGGGGTAATATCGTAATAGTTTTAAATTTTCAGAATAAATTTACATCTAAAAAAGTTTTTAGATGCCCAGTGCTTCAAAGTGAAAGCAAATCATATATTTTATGAGAACAAAGAGCTATAAAAATTGAGTCATATATTTAATTAATTAACTTGCGTAGATTTTCATTCGAATTTCTTTTTTTCATTTGAATTTTACATGACAACCGAAAACAAGAGGGTTATCCTCGTTGCTGAATATTTGAAGAGTATTTTTCTGTTAAAAAAAAAATCAATCGGGTTGAAATAAATTATGGTAATTGTTAATTAATGTACATGTTATTTCTTGTTATGTATCAGAAAAAAACATATTGTTAATCTCAAGTTTAGATTTGTCATTTTCCAGCAAAGACGTGTTATTTTTAAATAAATTATAGTCATTTTTAATTAATCTACATGCTACTTCTTGTTATGTATCAGGAAAAGTTACTTTGTTAATATCAAATTTAGATTTGTTATTTCTCAATTAAGACTTGTCATCCTCAGATAAATTGTTGTTATGGATTAGAGTCACAGTAAAAAAGTCAACTTTTATGTTTGTTTGCATTATAAGATTAAAAATTCTTTGGGCCATCTTTTTTTTTTTGTTAGCCCGAATAACCAAGGGGTTGTGGGATTAAATCCCACCCCTGCCACTTTGAACCAATTTTCTACTAAAAAAAAAACTGTGACAAAAAAGCTTCATCGGCAGCCACCACACCAGTGGCTGCCGATGATGCCCGGCGACGGTTGCTAGCCGCCGGTCACCGGTGAAGGGCTGAGGTTTTTTTTTAAACAAAAAAAATTAAAAGGTATTTTTGTTATTTCACTGAATTTCAAAATTTCAATTTGACAAGGACTTCCCTCTCTAACATTATATTTCTTTAGCTTTCCAAATTGGCATTTCACATTTTTAAACTTCTTTGTGTCATTTTCCCTAGATTTTGACTGAAAAACACCCAAAAACAATTGGAAAAAACGAGAGAAAATATTTTTGCTTGTTTTCCAAGTTGCTAACATATAGTTTCTTTTTTCTTTTTGTGATACTTTGAATATTCTTAAGTCATTTTGGATGTGAAACCAATCTCTGATGGGTCAACATCGGATATACGTTTATTTTGGGGCAACATATGAATATGGGCCTTTGAATTTATTGGTCCATAACAAAATTAATGATCATTAATCTTTAAAGTAGGTGTGAAGGGGGACACCTTATTATATACTACATCCGGTTCTAATCAGAAGACGTTGTTTGTAAACTATAAATGAAGCCTTATAATTAGAATCAAAAGTAATATTAGTTTAGGGAACTTTAGCATCTCCAAACTTTAGTGGAATTATATTATATTTTTCCTGGTAAAATATAGGAGCTGATTGAGATATTTATTTTAGTCTTAAGTATAAAATATTCATTCATTTTATCTCACAAATTTATAATTTTTATATCAAATTATCCTTGTTAATAGCATATTCTATAATGATCAAAAGGGTATTCTAAAAAAATTAATATACATTTATTATAAATAACTAATCAACTAATTTTCTTAGTATCCATAAATTAGTTACTAACTTCTATGTTTAGACTAGAGGGGGTATTTATTACCCAAGGTGAAGCATTTTGTGTTATGAAATATGGGGAAGAATAGATACAAAGTAGTTAACAATTTCTTTGAATATTTTGATAAAATAATGATCTTTTTAATAGAAATGGTTGAGTTACATGCGTTTCGAAGTTACAAGAAAGGATGCGACAAAAGTCTAAATAACTTGCACTAACAATTGATTGATTTGAACAAAAACTCCCAAAAACCTATTCCAGAGTCATGATCACACTAAGATAATGGGTTAGGAGGCTATAAAAGTATGGAGAAATGGGGTTAAAAGCCGTTTATAAATAGTCCACTTGAATTAGGGATATTCATAAGTTGCATGCACAACTTGTAGCTAAACGTAAATATTTTTGACTCAGCCTTTAAAAACAATTAGTCCTGATGTGAAGCCAAAATAAGATAAAGTTAAAAGAATAAAAATTATTTTAATCCAATGTGAATTGACAAGTAAGGTTTATTATTTTAAAATTGGACTAAGGAGCAAATTTGCCAAGGAAGGAGTACTAGGCATCCAGAAGCTTTTTTAGTAGCAAATTTGCCATGAAAGTTTAAAATCATAATAATATTACTTCATACCATTAAAAATGTTAATGGTCACAGTTAATATTAGTTTTCTTTAAGATTAGGGGTAATATTGTTACGATTTTAAATTTTGAGGACAAATTTGCTTTCAAAAAAAAACTTTTAGATATCTAGAGTTTCTAAGCAAAAACTTTTGGAACAAATTTGTACCTTAACTCTTTAAAAAATTTTATGCTTCAAACAAAACCCTATAAATTTAAAACATTATGTTTTTCAATTTATTTATTTATTTTTTTGCTGACAGCATTCTTATTGATCAATCTATCCTCTAATGATATATCAATTTATCATACTACTTCTGATTTTTACTATAAAACCAGTTGATTTAATTGAGAAGATTAAGAAGTCACTAAATTATTTTAAAATATCTATATTTATCATCTTTTTCAAACTAATTTGACTCATTTATAAAATGATATATAATCTAATGATACACATAAGTACCTTAGAGGTCTCATGTAACATGTATTATAATTAAATAATTTGATAATTTTCTTAATTTTTTTCAAATTAGTTAATTAGGTCTTATGTTAAAGATTGAAAGCAGCGTCATTAGTTTAGTGCATATCATATAATGGTGATAGTGACTAGCTAGGTGTCGGATGAAAATGGACAATTGAGAGATCTTTTTTTCACGGGGTTTAATCGAAAATTCTACAAACTAAATTAAATAAAGGGTTAATTTTTTTTATTTGATCGAGGGTTTTCCCTTTCAAGACTTAGAGTGTAAAAGATTTGTGCCTTTTTTTTTTTTAATTACATTGAGGGTTTTCTCTTCCAAGACTTAGAGCATAAAGTGTTTTTGTCTCTCTTAACAAATACTTTTTCTAGAATTCAAACTTGTGTTCTCTTTCTTACGGGGTGAAACCGCTTATCACCTCAATCAACAACTTGTTGGTAATAAAGGGTTAGTATTATTATTAGTTCTTTTTACTTGATCGAATTTTGATTTTAGTCTTTATAGTTTCTAATTGTGATTTTTAATCCTTGCAATTTCATTAGGAATTAAGCATAGTTAATATTATTAAGTGTACGAACCAAAACTACGAAAACTCATTAAAAATATATAGACCAAAACCAAAACTTCTCTCTGGACCCCTATACTTTTAATAACAAGTCTTGGTCGTTTTGGTTCATATTACTTAACCGGATTAAACTCATTAAAATCTAATGTTATTAAACTTAGACTAACTCTTTCTAAAATTATAAGGACAAAAAACACTATTTGAAACTATAGGGATTTTAAAACTAAAATTTGATCAAATTATAAAGGCTAACAACAGTGTTAAAACTCTTAAATGAATTTTTTGTGTGTGGATAATATCCAATGTAAATGGTGCCTAGCTTTATCTGTTTCTTCTTTAACGTGTCTACTTTAGTCTAACTTCACTTTCCCATGCAATAATTTCCTCCTCATCTCCCAACCACAATTTTGTCAGTTTCATTCCTTCATTAGGATTTACTGCCATTTTGCATAACCAAGGGTATTTATGTAAATATCCTTAAAAAATTTAAAAGTTCTATAAATACCAATCCATGTCACTCTCTTTGAGCGCAGCCTTATTAACCCTAAACTTGAAGAAGTCACCTCCTCTTTCTTCTGCAGATCATTCTGATCATTAATGGAAGCAGAAGTGATTGATCTTACGAAGTCTCCCCCATCTTCCCCAGAAAATCCATATAATAAATCCTCAAGAATCCTCAAATTTACAGCTTATATTTATTCCAGGAAAATTCGATTTAAGGTCAAGAAATCTTGCTTGCCCTTCTTGACCTTTAACCCTAACCCTACCAATTTGGGAACTTCCTTGTTTTCTCAAGCAACTGATCAGCCTATGAATGAGGACCCTTGGACTCCTAAGGAGCACGAGTATGTTTTCTCTTTATCATTATCGTCTTTGCTTTCTAATAACTTCCATTTGCAGCTTATTGTTCCCTAGCTTCTCTTGTTTGTTACTTGTATTGTGGACCGATTTGGTCCAAAATATAAATCAAGTTTGATAATATATATCTAAACCATTTGATCTTTGTTTCCCTATTTGGCCTTTCCATGTAATTAAACTCTGTAAGTATCACCCTAATCCTTATTATTTGTCACTTGTGGGGGGATTTTAGTCTTTTTTATTTGTCACTTATATCATTTTTAATACTTCATTTTCAATTCTAGCCCTATTAATTATAGTAAAGGTGAAGAAAGACAAAATGAGTGGGAGAAAATATACTAGTGTTTAATGTTATCCTTGGCAAGGACAAAAGTAAAAGATTTCATATATTAAATGCTCTCTTTGATATATGAGAAATTTCTATAAGTGACAATTAATAATGATCAAAGTGTTAATTAATCCATTATAATTAATATAGTAGTATTGAAAAGCTTTATACGAATGCTATATATTTTTTAGTTATTTATAACTGATGTTTTTTGGCTCACATTAGGTGGGTAAACCAGATTTATATTATGGGCCAGAAAAGTATTTATTAATCGGCTAAATTATATAAAACCTTCTGTAGAGGATTTATAATGAAAATTAGTTAAAAATATAATAGTCACTTAACGGCCAGAGATTAATAGTATAGAAAGATTATTTAAATTTAAGCTTTGACATGTCAATACGTGTAAGTGACCAAAAGCTGAGAAAATTTTTGTATAATTTAGTCTTATTAACTATATATTCTTATTCTCTCTTCTTGTCTCTTTTTTCCAGTTTTAATCTCATTTAATTTTTTTGGTCTTAAACAAGGGAATTAAATGAGAGTATTTTGGTCTATGTGTATAGTAATATTTTGCATTAATAGTGTGCAACTCTATTACTAGTAATGCTTTCAATCACAGATGTGGTGGATGCAGTCAACAATTAATGGTGGTAGCCTCACTAAATCATTCAAATTAAATTTATTAACTATGCACTGCACGTCCTAAAATATTATCATTTGATTTCTCGGTTTCTTTAATTAATTGTCTTAATTATGAAAATATATGTATATACAAGAATACTGTACTCTTTTTCCCCGTTTAAAACTATACACTTAGCTGTTACGATTAACTGTGAAAATTTTGTTTAAAAAAGGTTAAAATGCATATTTGCTTTGAAAGTTAAAATACTAACATTGATTGATCACTGAAATAGTAACATTAAACTGTTAACAATAAGAAGTAACATTGTTACGGGACAAATTGACACCTAAAAACAATTCCTAGTGCCCGGTATTCTTCAATAAAAATTTTTAGGGCAAATTTACATATTATTCAGTACTCCTTAAAAATTTACTATTAAGATTTTCACGTAAAATGTATAATCTCATACACATACACGCAGCCCACTCGCATCATCAGCTACTCCAAGGCGTTAAGGTGAGGATTGTAACCGTGACAAGATTATGTGTGTGTGTAGAATGATCAGCATCTACAGTCATCACCACAATGTCATAAATACTTGAATAATATATATATATATATATATTGTAATTCTATAAATTCATGTGACAGGGAATTTTTGATGGGGCTGAGGAAGTATGGAGGAGGTCGACGGAACAAAATCCTAAAGGACTTCGTGAAGAACAAGACAGGAAGACAAGTTGAGAAACATGCCACAAGTTTCTTCATTAACTTCCTCCAAACGTATCTGAATTCATGTGTACCCGCCATAGCTTGTAATAATAATAATAAAACTGATCTCATGGCCACATTGGCCTCTGTTCTGAATCCAAACCCTAAAAATAATCAGATGAAGGAAGAAGAAGAAGAAGGTATTGGCCAACCACCAACCCTCATTCCCTTCTCAAATGGAGAGGCAGGTTGCAGCCGCGATGTGATCTCTGAGGTGGCGAACACTACAAGATCGTGTGTTAATGTTGATGATGATGATGATGAAGGTGAAGTTGATTTAGAGCTGCGCTTGGGTTGTAACAGATACTAATAAATAAATAAATAAATAAGTTAGGGACAAAATTTGCAATTCTAGGAAAAAAAGGTCATCATTGGTTATGGGTTTAGATGTCCCAGAAGTTTTTACTCGGAAGAACTAGACAGTCGAAAGTTTGTTTTAATACAAATTTGTCTCAAAATTTAAAATTATAGCAATGTTGTCCTTTACCTTTAAAAATATTAATAGTTAACGTCACTATTTTAACGGTCAACGTTAGTTACATTTTTAACAGTAAGAGACAATATTACTATGATTTTAAACTTTTAAGGCAAATTTATATAAAAAAAAGAATTCAAAGTCTCTGGTGCTCCAAGTTTTGGGGGCAAATTTACTCATTAACCCTTAATAATAATGATAATATTATTATTACATTATGGAAATTATTTTTTTTTTTGTTTTTTTGGGGGGGGGGGGGTTAAAAGGAATAGAACAGAATGTAGTGGGAGCGTCCTCCCTTTGGTGGCCATGGGGGCTACACTGTGTAGGTGCCTTCCCTTGCAGATGCACATGGCTTTGCTTTAATATTATGCAACTCTCTACAACCACCCACGCACAACCTTTGACTATAACATTCAATAATGAATATCTTTCTGAATTTTTCTTTTCTTTTATTTGCAAACATTTCTTTTCTGGGATTTCTAAAAGCCAGAAACACAAAAGAACAAAAGCACTATACATGGCATACAGAAGAGAGTTATTTTCAAACAAAGTAGGGGGAAGTGTAGGTGAAGTGTGAACACATGAATTGTTTTTCTATGAAGGCTGCAAAAGGCCAGGAATGATCATCATACATAATATCGATTGTACCTTTTTTTTCCCCTGATTTTAAATATAAGAATTAGATTTATAAAAATTTAAAAGAATTAATTAAATTAGTTATTTATGAAAAATATATATTAATTTTCTTAAAATACCTCTTTTAATGTATCATTTGCGTTGGAAACTACTATCTCTTAATGAAAAACTCTTTTAACATGTATAATAATTAAGGAGAGTTTAAGGTGAAAAAATAAATTTATGAGATAAAATGAATGAAAACTAATTATTATATTTAAAACCAAAAAAAGTAACAAACAGGATTGAGTTTAATGAAAATGGTTAGTCCCTCACAAATCCTCATAATATGAAAAATTAATATTTAAATTCATATTACAAAAAGTACTCATATTTAGTCTTTATAACGATATCTTGAATATGATTATTTCTAATATAAGAATATGCGTGAAATTAAAAAACTAGAAGAAGTACAATATTAGGACAATTTAGCATAAGCTTTGACCCTTGTCTTGACAAAATGTACCGGGAGTTACACCCTTTATTCTTCAGTCAATTTGGGGAAGAAGTGAAAAGCTCGTTACTCCTCTGGTCCTATTGATGAGTTATTTTCAATATGTTTCATACAAAGCAAAAAAAACTTTAAACTACTCCTCCGGTCTTTAATATAGGACCCAATTCTTAAGTTGGTTTTGGTCCTAAATATAAGACCTATTTATCATATTTATCAATTTTCTCTAAATTACCCCTATGGATACTTCTCAACCATAATCAAATAGAAGAGGGAGAGTGGGTATTAAGAAAAATGATTGTGGTGTTTTAGGAAAAATGTGTCACTTTTCTTATAATTAACTAACTTACCTAACTTCCTTAATCTAATCAAATTAGTTAAATGGGTTTTATATTAAGGACCGGAGGAGTATTAACTCTCATTTAAAATTTAACAACTTTTCAACTTTATCCCTATTTAATATACATTATACGTCATATAAATAAAATTGACATAATAATAAATAAAAGGTAAAATTATACTTCCATACAAAAAATTTCTTTCAGTGTTTTATGAATATGACAAAAAAATATCTTCTCTCTTTTTCCTACAAATAAGACCAATGGAGTATAACTGAATCGCATCCATTGATACCATCTCTTTAATTTTATGACAGACTTAGCCAAGTTTAAAGTTGTTTTTTTTGCTCCGTTGAAACATATTGGAATTTAAAAGTGCCCCTTCTGAATTTATTATAAATTTCAAATAAATAATTTATAAATAATAATAAAAATTTAAAAGCAATAAATAGGTAACAATATACTTTTGTTTTTAAATATACTCTTATAATAAATAAAAAAAGGATAAAAGAAAATGAATGAGAAAATATGATAAGAGAGTCGGGCAAAATAAAGAGAATAAATAATTAACAATAAAATTAAAAAAACACATTAAAGATTAAGATAAATTCAAATTAAAATTTATAAAATAAACTACACTCATCTCTCGATTTTAAAGCTTATAAATTGAACCACAAGAAATAAACTACAAACAGAATGAGAAAAGCGAGTTGGAAGGGCCCAGGATAGCTTAAATGCATTAATGACAGGGAAAAAAATGTGAGAGGAACATGAAATGTTGGTAGAATTAATTGAAAAGGAAAGGAGACATGAACCCGAACTTCAACCTCCTACAGACAAATGCATGATACTTATATAATAAATCATTTGAGTGAGAAGAAGAAGAAGCGAGCACCTAAAAATTGGCGAGAGAGAGAGAGAGAGAGAGAGAGAGAGAGAGAGAGAGAGAGAGAGAGAGAGAGAGAGAGAGAGAGAGAGAGTCTTGCCTTGCACGTCCCCTTTCTCCGATAATGCAATTCATTGTGGGCCCCACCCTCCTCTGCTCAAACCCCCACACCACACCCACATCACCAACCTCCCCCGCCATTCTCCGGTCCCTCCATTATACCTTCACGCGTATTCCTTACTCCCTCCCAACCTCCCCTCTTCTTATTTACTTTTAAGTAAATCAATCCCACCAAAGCAGATATTAATCTAAAGTTTGTTATAAATAGGGCATTGATTACCTTTTTTTTTTAAATATTATTAATCCAATCCTAAATATCAAACCTATTTTATAGTACAAATTATATTATAAAATAAATCTTATATTTAAGATGGGATAAGTATTTGTTAGTATTCATTAATTACAACCTCACTGCACTTTTTGAATGTAATTCATGGATCAATTTGAATTTTTATTTTATTTTCAAATATTTTAATGATCAGAGAAAATATATATACACGCATACAGGTGTAATAATTTACAAAACTTTAGAACTAATTAATAAATTTTTGGTAAAATGCCTGGATAAAAGGACATCAGAAGTGAAAAGATGAAAAAGTATTTTTAAGGTGTAAATTTGTTGAATCTGTTTTATTGACATATACTCCCTTGATTAAATGTATAAGACTTTTTTTCATTTTTTTTGGAAGAGTGGTTTCAAGTTTGTTAATATTAGATGTTTTGAAAACTGCAATACAATTATCCATAAAATAATTTGGTTCCAAAAACACCCTTTATTAGTTAAGAGTGATGTGGACCCACTAGAAGTCCTTTTTTTTTTTGAGATATAAGGAAGCGGGTTCAATCCCGCATGCACACACCACTCGGCCAAGAGGCCAGTGGTACTAGAAGTCCTACTTTAGGAAATAGGAACCCAAAAAATTAAATAAATGGAGGGAATATATAATATAGGGTCGGGTTTGTTTGGAACTTATAAATAGCTTATAAATTACTCCCTCGTTTTTTATTATAAGAGACATTTGATGCTTATGGCATGTTCTTATATATAAGAGACACTTAAAAGTTATTTCTACTTTTTTGTGTTGATTTCCTATTTTACCTATATTTATTGTCTCAAACTCACACTTTCCTTTCTTCTGATTTCTCTTTCTTTTAATAATTTAATTATTCTCTCTCATGCTCTCTCTCCTTATTAATGAGGGTATTTTTGAAAAAAATTGTATTTTTTACACATTGATTGTTCCTAACTAATTTTAACTGTTTTTTTATCAATATAATTCAGTTATTCGTTTCTTATAATAAAAAAAAAGGAGTATTTTTTAATAATGATTTACGAAAGCCATCTACTTCTACATAAGAACGTTAAATGCCATCTAAGGACATTTTTAAGCCATCGAAAAGTCCAATTTGCCACTGGTTGAACTGGCTCTGGTATTAATAGACCAGAGTTGGCCATAAATTCCCCTTACTTCATCATCATCTTCCTCGTCCTCGAAATCCATTCTTCTCAGAACCACACGCAACTATGTCCCCACCATCCAATCTTCTCCTTCTCTTCTTCCTCTTTCTTCCATTGCTCCTCCGAGCCCAACCTCCTCCGCCGTCTCCTCCTTCTCCTCCTTCTGCTCTCTGTAAGTTCACATTGTACCCAAAACTATGTCGTTCCATGCTTTCCGTCATCTCCTCCTCCCCGTCGGACCCCTACAATGCAGGCAAGTTCTCCATCAAACAGAGCCTCAAGCAAGCCAAGAAACTCCTTAAGGTCTTCGACGACTTCCTCCGCAGCCACCGCCATTCGGAATCCTCCCCGGAGGTTCGCGCCCTCGACGACTGCCGCGACCTCAGCCTCCTCAACCTCGATTACTTGGAAGCCGTCGCGGCCGACCTCCAAGCTGCAGTGACGGCCTCGGCCGAGCTCATAGACAAGGTCGAGAGCTACCTAAGCGCGGTGGCGACCAACCATTACACTTGCTACGACGGACTTGCGGCGGCGAACAGTAATATAGCGAAGGTGCTGGCGGTGGCATTGAGGAATGTGACGGAGATGTATAGTGTATCATTAGGGTTGGTAAGTGAGGCTTTGAATCAGAATGTGAAGAGCAAGTTTAAGACTCGCAAGCATGGACTTCCTTCTCAGTCTTACAAAGTCAGACAGCCTCTTGAGAAGCTAATTCAGGTACGTTTTTCTTTTCTTTTGTTGTTTTTTTTTTTTGGCAAGAAAAATATATTTGCCGGCCTGCGTATACAATATATATTAAGTACTTAACCCCGCGGGGTTAGGTCGACTGGTTGGGGTCGTCCTAGCTTAACCACGGATCTCGGGTTCGAGACGTGGGAACGCAGCACTCCAAGGGGTCAGGGGGCGCTGTCCGTATGGATCCTTGCAAGCCCCTGAATCCGGATTAGTCTGAGGACGTTGTCACAGTTGAAAGACACCTATTTTCTTGGGATACCGGATGGAATAATAAATAAAAAAAATATTAAGTACTTTTCTAATATAAAATTTAATTGTTTAGTTCATTTTAATTCTAAATATAATACTTATTTTTTATATTTATCAGTTTTTTATAAATTATTTATATTAATATTTTTTCAACCATAGAGGAAGGAATGATACTAAAAAACATAAGTATGATATTTTAAAAAAAACATATCATATTTTTGTAATTAAATAACTTATCTAAATTTTTTTAATTTAATCAAATTAATTAAATAGGTTTTACGTTAAGGATGAGTATTTTTTATTCAATATAATCCTCATTTAAATTCATTAAATATCAGAAAAATGTAATTTAAATATAAAAATGTTGGATAAAATTACAAATTTGTTTTATTTTCAAACGCAATGTGCCTCATATTATAAGTTTTGTACATCCAAGTATATACTCTTTTTAGTTTAAAATATAAGATAAATTTTGTTAAAAGAATTTGATTTTTTTAAAACAAGATATACGTTTTAGTTTTGATTAAGCATGAAATAAGTTTTTTCTAATGTTGCCTCTTATATATATTTTTTCCTTTTTGATTCATTTCTTAAATTTTTTGCTTATTATCTTTATTAATAAGGATATATTTAAAAAAATAAATACCTTACATATTTATGATTTTAAACTGATTTTAACTGATTTCTTAATAAATATTAATCGGTTAAATTTATTTTATATCGTAAACCGGAAGAAGTAAAACCCTTATTATTAATTAACAGAAAATAGTTTTAATATTAATAGTTTGAGAGTAAATTATAATTATAAATTTAATAGAAAAATTAATTAAAATATTATACTAAGAATTCTTCAATTAGAACATTAATATTAAATTTGTCGCATACGTGTGCTCTATATGAAGCATGTTCTCCGAGTCAAAAATGGGGGGCAGGAAGGAAAATTGAGAGGTTTAGGCATGGTCACCGACACATTATGGGATGATATCAAGCAATATTTTAAATTATTTTTTTAAAAAATAATTTTGATAATTTTAGTTTTCTTGGAAAAGAAAAGCTGGCTAGCTGTTTCCTGTTTGGATTTAAATTTAATAGATTAGGTGTAACTTTAAATTGTACTCCTAAGTTCATAATAATGCTGCTCTGACTAGTTTCAGCGCAAGGCTTCCTACACCAATAAATGTGAATCAAATAAACCACGGTTGAGGAATAACTAATTTTAAATTATGTATGAACATCTCGCATCATATTCTTTCTGTTCCTAATATAACATCTAATTATTAAATTAATTTTAATTTTAAATATAAATTTATTTATCATATTTATCAATTTTTCTGAATTATTTTTATTGATATTCTCTCAACCATAATTAAATAGGAGAGGGAGGAAAGATATTGAGGAAGATGATTATGATGTTTTAGAAAAAACATATCTATTTTTTATAATTAGCTAACTTACTTAACTTTCTTAATTTAATCAAATTAATTAAATAGAGCTAATATATATTTAATCACTGTGTGATGATGTAGCATCTTCGATTTTAATTATAAAACTTCATTTTATAAATGAGATTTTATAATTAGGGATGGACGTAGTATAAACTTTCTGTGCTTTTGGACCAATTAGATTATACTTCTGGCGGGTAGTGCCTTCTAAAAGTAATATATTAGTCTTTTCCATTTTGTTATAATCAAATGGGCTAATCGTCTTGTGACTTACTGACATTGAAGTTTCTTGTAACTCGGAGGTTATAGGTTCAATTTTACATCTAACATTACGCCCAGCGTGCTTGTCCCTTTAATTAAAACAATTTACCAAATTTAAAACTTTTATCTTTTTTCAGTAAAAATTATACTACTGAAAATATTTTGATAAGTATTCATGCTATAACTAGGGATTCTTTAAAAAGTTTTTTTACTTTCAATTTAATCTTGTAAATTCTATTGCTTGTATATCACTTGATTTTGTATAGTTTATTTTGGAATCAAAATTATTCATTTCATTCTGAATTTTTTTTATCAAATTTAAAATTTTTATCTATTCTCATATTAAGCTAATGATTTAACTATTTTTTCTTGATTTTAATGAAATAGTTAAAAGTGCTTTATAATGAGGACAAAAAAGAGTAGGTTATTATTACTGGATTAATAGAACATCTATTATTTATAAGTTTTACAATTTATATTGATGTTGATGATTTTAAATTTTAAAATTTTTTATAAGAAATAATTTGCCAACCATAGTATGGTTGCAGGTCAACCAACTTCTAACCACTTGATCATATCATACTACCAGTCACGTGGGACACGTGTCAATCTCACGTGCCCAGGATGATGCACTGTCTTTCCTGTATCAGCAGCATCACCATTCACCGACAGTTGAAATCAGATTTTGGCCTTAGTAGCTATACTTTATTTAATTACTATTTTTTAAAAAAGTTATAATTTAAATATTGTTTTTGTCATATACTCCTCCGGTCCTTAATATATGACTCAATTGTTAAATTGGTTTTGCTCCTAAATACAAGACCCATTTCTCATATTTATCAATTTTCTCTAAATTACCCTTATGGATACTTCCCCAACCACAATTAAGTAAAAGAGGAGAAGAGGTATTAAAAAGATAATTATGGTGTTTTACAAAAAAGTGTTACATTTCTTATAATTAACTAACTTACTTAACTTCCTTAATCTAATCAAATTAGTTAAATGAGTCTTATATTAAAGACCGGAGGAGTTTATATACACACACATATTATGTACATCTTTCTTTCTCCTGTTCCAAGAAAACAGTGTCGTTTTAGAAGACTAAGAATATATTTTCTTTCTAAATATAAGATGTAGTTTATAGTTTAATCTGATCACAGTGCTTAAGCTTGCAATCTGATCCATGTTTGGCTATTGGGAAAGTAATATGTTCTTTTGCCAATGACCAAACCTCAGGTAGTTAGTGTCTGTTTGTCTAACTAGAAAAAGAAAGTAATACGTTTTTAATTATTATTATTTTTATATATAGAAAACTTGAGCTTAAGATCTTGTTTAAGGGAAACAAATGACAAATCATTTGATGGAAGTTTTATTTATTTACTTCTTTGTGTACGGAAGTTTTATTAACTATAGACAATGAAGCTAATTACACGCTTGATTAAGACACATAATGGAAAAATGAGGGGCTAAATTATGGTGCAGGTTCTTCGGGGGAAGTACAGTTGCAAGGCATCATCAAAGTGCAAAAGCAGAAGTGAGAGGATTCTTCTGAGGGAAAGTGAAAGCAAAGGGATTCTATTAAACAGCTATGCAATTGTGAGCCATTTTGGCACTGATAACTTCACCTCCATTGGAGAAGCCATTTCTGCCGCACCTACAAACCTCAGACCAGAAGATGGCTACTTCCTTATCTATGTCAGAGAAGGATACTATGAAGAATATGTCATTGTTCCTAAACACAAGAAGAACATCTTGCTCATTGGTGATGGTATCAACCACACCATCATCACAGGCAATCACAGTGTCATTGATGGCTGGACAACCTTTAATTCTTCCACCTTTGGTAAGACTTCTACACACACCCCGGTCCTTAATTTAAGTTACTTAACTAATTTAAGTAGATTAAGAAAATTAGTCTTGTTAGCTAATTATAACAAGGAAAAACCGTTTTGGAGGTAACTATATTTTTTTTTTTCAATTTTTAATGTGGTACCTATGTGTTTTTTTCTGTTAACTTAATCTTTGATTTTGCTCTATTAACATCATTAACCCTTGCATAGAGACTAAGGGTCCATTTGGAACAGCTTATAAGTAACTTATAAGTTGTTTTTTAATAGTGATTTACGGAGTACGAGATAAGCATGTGAGAAGAGTTTTATCTTGGCTTACATGAAACGTGCTTACAGGGGATTTCTACTGCTATCCCAAATAGGCACTAAAAGTGCTAATAGAACAAAGTTACAAGAGCTAATATTGCTAAAAATATAAAATTAAATAATTTAGTTAAGAGAAAGAAAACACAGGTACCAAATTAAAAATTAAGAGAAAATATAGGTATCTTTAATACGTTTTTTTGTAGAATTATTTTAAGGAGATTATCATTTGTTATAAGGGATATATTTTTTCTTAATTTTTAATTTGGTACCTATGTGTTTTTTCCCCCTTAACACTAGATCACATATTAGCTTTTAGGTCAAGTAAATTAGTTTGAGAAAAATTAATACATGCCAATGGGACCAAATCCAATCCTCCTCCTAGCTCCTATATTAGCGATGGAGATGGCATATATAGTTTAGTGTTCAAGAACCATGCCAAAGTGATTCAAATGCATATCCATCTATTCTTGTAGCCTTTTTACTTTTCAACAACCCCAAAAAAAAAAAATCCAAATTTTCTAAGTTTGAATCCATATATTGTGTATTGTTTCAGCTGTTTCTGGGGAAAGATTCATAGCAGTGGACATCACATTCAGGAACACAGCAGGTCCAGCGAAGCACCAGGCGGTAGCAGTGAGGAACAATGCTGATCTCTCCACCTTTTATCGATGCAGCTTCGAAGGATACCAAGATACCCTCTATGCTCACTCCCTGAGGCAATTCTACAGAGAATGTGAAATTTATGGCACAGTTGACTTCATATTTGGCAATGCAGCTGTTGTATTCCAAAGCTGCAAAATCTATGCCAGGAAGCCACTTCCATTCCAGAAGAATGCCATCACAGCACAAGGCAGAACCGACCCGAACCAGAACACCGGAATCTCAATCCAGAATTGCAGCATTGAAGCGGCACAGGATTTGGCTTCAGATTTGAACTCTACTAATACTACCACCACCACAGGCTTGACATACCTGGGAAGGCCATGGAAGTTATATTCTAGAACGGTGTACATGGAGTCTTATATTGGGGATGTGATTGAACCTTCTGGTTGGTTAGAGTGGAATGGGACTGTAGGGTTGGACACTTTGTTTTTTGGTGAGTTCAATAACTATGGACCTAGGGCTAGTACAAACAATAGGGTTCAATGGCCTGGTTTTAACCTTCTGAATGCTACTCAGGCTTTGAACTTTACTGTCCTGAATTTTACACTTGGAGATACATGGCTTCCTGACACAGATATACCATACTCTGCAGGATTACTAGGAAATTAGCGAGTCAAATTTTGCAGGAAAAGTAATGAATTTGATTCATCGTTGTTAGTCAGAAAGTTAGATTAAATGTAACTAGTTTTTAAAAATGATATGAAAGGTTTGAGTATTGTGATGTAATTCAGAAACAGTGTATTTGCCGGTAAAAATTTCCTTTAGATTTATGTATACTGCAAATTAGCCTAAATGTACCAATTTTGTGATGTAATTCAAAAGCATTGTCTTTGCAGATAAAGTCACCTATGTATTTGCCAATTACACTTGTGCCTAGTTCAAATTATACAGTTCTCTGTAATTTCAGAAAAGAAATGGAAATTTTAATGATTCACTCTACTAGTATGACAGTAATTGGCATAAAATTTCTGGTTTTAGGTATGAAGAGGCCCATAAAAAAGGTGATCAAGCTACATTATGATTAGTCAGTTCAAGAGAGGAGATTATTCATAAGTTAGGGGGAAAAGAGTTTTCTGATGTAACTCGAAAGAGTATATCTGCAAATGTAATGTGCTCATCAATGGTTACTTAGTACATCACTCTCATTGCAAAGTAGTTTCATTAAAGTTTATGTTTTCAAAAATTCCATGAAGATCGTAGTTCAAAGACACCAAGTGTTAGAAACTAGAGACCTTCTGTTTTATTACATTAATGACTTATAAATGAAGATTCAATATTAACTCCGTCAATTTGGCTTTGTTTAGCTCTATAAGAAAGGCGTAAGTACTGTATCTTATAATTTCTCAATAATGTGAATTGAAGTATTGAATCAAATTAATCAATAGAGTGATGAAAAGTTATATTAATACACAGGAAAACCATGATGGCAAAAGAAAAAAACCAGAAATCCAAAGAAAACTCTCAGAAAAGAAGCTTTGCATTATGTGTATATGAAATAAAAATTGTCACAGAGAAGACTTGTAGGGGGTAATTGTGGCCGGAATCCATCGGTCTCCCTGAAGAAAGGCCTTAACTGTGAATCTATTTGCTTGTTTAGCAGAAATTGTTCTTAAACCCTTCCATTTGACTCTACCTTTTGTTGAAGCACCGGGTCCAAAGTTCTGAAACTCAGCATAGAAAATAGTGTCTGGTGCTGAGTCTCCCACCCATGGCAACCAGCCACTAGGATCAATTAAATCTCCCATTGAAGATTGCATGAACACAGTGGTTGAGTAGTTCTTCCATGGCCTTCCCAGATACGTTTGCACAGAACTCAAGTTCCCAAAGGGTGAGATTCTGCAATTCTGAATTGAAATCCCTGTGTTCATATTAGGATCTACCTTCCCTTGTGCTGTGATTGTGTTCTTCTGCCCCAACATAGGCACCTATGAACAGAACAAAACCATTTTAGAAACTAACTAAACACTTACAGAGAGTCCAAGAAATAAGCCATACTATTTATAACTTATAATACGGCTTGTTATGGATGATGTTTAACGATCTGATTGAATTTAAAGTTATGAATGACTACTTTTTTACTCCCTCCGATCCTTCTTACAAGTTTGAAATAACTAATTCATGAGTAACATGCAATTAGCTAAAATTAGTTGAAACAAACCCAAATTGAAGCTTATGAAATGGACCACAGCTCCTTTCAAATTTGAAGCTTATAAACAGGATTGAAGGGAGTTTTTTTTTGCCCCACCTTTGGGAAGATGTTGGAATTTTGAATGACAACTGCAGAGTTGCCAAAGATGAAATCAACAGTGCCAAAGATGTTGCATTCTCTATAGAACTGGCGATGTGAATGAGCATAGAGAGTGTCCTGAAATGCATCAAATAGGCATCTGTAGTACACAGCCTGATCAGCACTTGTCATTAGTGCCACAGCCTGGTGCTTCTGTGGCCCCGCCGTGTTGCGAAATCCGATGTCCCTCGCCATGAAGTTCTTCCCAAAAACAGCTGAATCACACAGTCATAACTGAGAATCTAAAGCTACATTGATAAAAGAAATCCAATGATAAGTGTAAAGGATGAGAATTTTTTTTTTAGTACCAAATGTTGCAGATGAGAAAGTGGGTGTGCCATCAACAAAGTTGAGACTACCAGACACAATTGTTCTGGTCATTCCATCGCCAATCATCATCACATTCCATTTCTTCTTCTCAACTCTAACATTCTCATAGTAAAGTCCTTTCTTCACATAGATCACAGTTCTCTTCTTGCTCTCTTCTGGGACGTGTTTGAGTGCTTCAGAGATTGTTCTGTATTTTCCAGACCCATCTTTGGCCACAACAATGTCTGCTCTCTTCTTCAAGTCCTTGTCTGATGCAAGCAGCTTTCTGTCTTTCTGATGAAGCCATGCTGGAGCTTCGTTGTTATTTGGTAGGGTCAATAAACGTCGTCGTCTCAAGTTTAGTGTGCTTGTAGCCTGCTGAATCCAAGTGATAATGGCCAGACTGTTACTAGTAAACTCTGTAGAGTTCTTTAGGTAGCTACTAATTCTGTTCTTTATTGATCCTTTTGCTTCCTCTAAGCCATCTATGCATGTTTGTTGGTATGTTCCTGTAAGATCACACAATCACACGAACGATGATCATAGTATTATTCTTAACTATGCATCTCAATTATTATTGTCGAGTAACAGAAATATTAGAAGTGACAGCTAAGAATACTTATTTCAGTCTTTAATACAAGAGCTATTTAACTAATTTGAATAAATTAAGGAAGTTAAATATATCAGTTAATTACAATAGATGTGACCTCTCTACAATAACACTGTGTGACACCAAATTATATACTCCTCCGGTCCTTAATATAGAACCCAATTTTTGAGTTGGTTTTGATCCTAAATATAAGACCCATTTCTCATATTTATCAGTTTTCTCTAAATTACCGCTATGGATACTCCCTCAACCATAATCAAGTAGAAGAGGAAGATGGGGTATTAAAAAAGATGATTATGGTTTTTAGAAAAATGTGTCACTTTTTTAAAATTAACTAACTCACATAATTTCTTTAATCTAATCAAATTAGTTAAATGGGTCTTATATTAAGAATAGAAGAGTATTATTTTATAAGTTAGATAAATTAGTTGTGGAAACTGATAAATATAAGAGATAAAGTAAATTGAAATTTATATTTAGAATCCAATTTAATCACTTAATTAGCTTTTATATCAATGACTAGTGGTAGTAGTACCTGTAGCACTTAACCATGTTTGAAGATCTTCAAAAAGGTCAAGAACAGAAGAATTCTGCCCAGAGGACAAGGAGACATTCAGATGATCAATAGCAAGATCCAACAGCTCCTTGCAATTTCTGAAAGATTCCATGGTCCTGTTATCATCACCAATCAAATCCTTAAAAGCTCCCTTTTTACCAGAAAAATACTTATCAGCAGCATTAGAAACTTCATCCAATGCAACTTGAAGAGACAGCCTGAACAAATCCTCAGGCTTCATCACTTGTCCTGGTTGAACCACACGTCCAAGGCTGGCATAACAAGCATCCTTGTACAATGTCACATCACACACGGCTTTCACTGAAGCAGAAATATCAACATTATTGCTACTACTGTTGTTTTTGTCGTCCTTGTCGTTGTTGTGAGCAAGACTTGTTCCTAAGACAGCCGCCACAACAACGCCGACCAGGACAACGGCTGACAAGCTCATGACGGCGATTCGCCTCCGGGTCTTTCGGCGAGCTACGAGCCTTTCTTGCTCGGATTCGTCGAGCTTGCCGTAGGTAGACATGGTGAAGTTTGTCGCTGTGTTGGTGGTGTTGTGAGTTTTAGTTACATGGCGACGACGTTCTTTATTTATATGCATGAGCAGGATTGGTGACGCGGTTTTACGTGCTTGGCACTAAGTCTTTGTATTGCATATTTGCATGCAACATTAAAGGGTGTGCCTCCCATGTTACATATTTATGTAAAAGTTGACCTTTAATATATGTTTATATTTATTCGTGTGTATGTATGTATGTATATGTGTGACAAGAATGTCTGACTTTGACAAAATAAACGTGTTAAGAGGTTCAGAATTATTTTACTAAATTTCACTTTGAAAAATTGTTGATAAAGCTTAACAATGCTTTCTTAAGTACTCGCTCAAGTATTGTCTGAAATTTTTACGAAGAACATTTCATGCTCATCATAATAATGAGTATAAGGTGCTCATTTTAATTTGGACCATCTTCATTGATATTGGATGGTTAAGATTGAATTTAAATTTTCTATATATTTTAAATAATTTTTTATTTTAATAGACACAGAATTCAAAATAAAAATAATCTTATACTACCTCCGGTTTTTAATATAAGAATTAATTGTTAAGTTAGTTATTTGTAATAATTATACGTTGTCTTTTCTAAAATACCCTTGCTAATCATGTATTAGCAAAACAAACTACTATTTGATTAAACCTTTAACGGAACCAGATCCTCTCAGTATCATTTTTCTCAGAATCCCTCAGCGTCTTGAAATCTTGTCCATCCAAATAATCTGAAAGCTCACAAATCGCCACGTCATCAACAAGCTATTACAAAATACAAATATTCTTCCCACGTCCCAGTATCCCACAAAAAGAGTCTTCAACCTTCTGCCCTCTCTCTCATCTCTCGATTCCTAAGTCAGCAGCAGAGTTGAATTTCACAAACTTGATCCAACTTCTTAATCTCAAGAAATCAGAAAACATTAATCATATAACTCGAAAAGCATCCGTTCGCCACTAATGATCAAAGAAAATCTTCATCACTCTCATCCTTCCCTGTTCAATCTTGCCAAGAGCTTCCTTCGTGTTAAATTTTCTCTCCACATTTTTCTCACAACAGCTCAGCCCAATTTTCAATAAGCTTCAACGATTTGCTCTTACTAGTCTCAACCCCTCCATTTCAACATGAAACTCTTCAACTTGTACGCCTCTCTGTGATCATTCTACTCATCCAACTCACTATGTTTTGAACCAAGGTCGTGCCTTTGAGTCAAATAGTTCATCGAGAATTTTCACGTTAAAATCTCCAGAATCACGACGCTGAAGCTCCATGCCTCGGTCTTCTTCATGATCCCGCCACGTTGCGCGTACTTCGGCGACGTGTACAGCATCATGATCTGCTGAGCATTATATAGATTGACGACATGAATGAGGACCTAATCTGTGAATAATAGCTCGTATGGTTCATGGAGAGCACAGTGCGGAACTCCACCTTCAAGAGACGCTGGTAGTGGCGGAGGAGAGTGGCGAGTCCACAGCCAAATTCATTTTTTATAACTTGATGATGTGGTGAATTGTGAGCTTTCAGATCATTTGGACAGACGGATTTCAGGACGCTGAGGGATTCTGAGAAAAATGATACTGAGAGGATCTGGTTCCACCTTTAACATATGTAACTACTACAATGACTATTTTGAAAAAAATAAATAAATATGAGACAAAGTGAATTGGAGTCAAATATTTAGAACCAAATTAAAAGTTAAACTAGCTCTTATATTAAGAACCGAAGGTAATAATTTTTTTTTCCAACAAAGATAACCTTATAACTAAAACTTTTTTAAAAAATAAATTTATTATTAAAAACACCGCATATTAAAAAAATTTTAAATATAAATAATGCATATCAAATTTAGGATAGTCTAAATTGCATTTAGTATTGAGCACACGGTGCTCATTCTTATGATGAACGTTGAATGAGAACCCAATTTCTAGTATTATTCCCCATTAATTATTGGTTCGTCTTACTACATTAATTATATCCACACCCTCTACCTTTCACTCTCTTTCCAGTTTTTTTAAAAAATTTCGGTCTTTAATACAAGCACATAATAGCAATTCTGTATAGATTAATGAAGTTAGTTCAAATTAATTAGTTTTTGTAAAATATCACAATTATCCTCAATAAAAATTATTAGTTACAGGGATTTGGTTAATTAATTAGGAAGTTTTATAATTAGTTAGAGATAATAGATGTAAAAAAAACTAATACGGTCAACAAAACATGTTATATTCTGAAATATTTTGAAGGTCCTTATAATAAGAAATTTTTTATTTGCGTAATTTAGTTGTTGTATATTATGAAAAGAATGAGAGGGGGAAAAAAAAAATTGCACACGTGGCCAACATATTCTCACGTGGCAGATGATGATGCTTAGTATGATGCTGACTGGATTTTGAATCTTCTGGCTCTTTCACACAAGAGCTCTCCATAGTTTTGTAGAGTCATAAAATTAACCACTTACCCGCTTGATCAGCATCTTCAAAGGGGATGTGAAAAACTTTGCTTCTTTTTTTTTTGGGGGGGGGGGGGTGTGTAAACAACTTTGCTGCTCTTTATTTATACAAACTTTTGGTTTCAGTTTTCGGTTTTTTGTTTTTTCCCCACTTCAGGAATTAAATTTCATCAATTAGAAAAAGGACTATATATAATAGCTTCACTAGTTTTGGTTTATACTACTACATCCGGTTCTTAATATAAGATCTTATTTGACTTTTATTTTGGTTCTAAATATTCAATTCACTTTATCTCTCATATTTATGTATTTTTTTTCTAAGATTGTCCTTCTAATAATAGTAGTTTTATCCAATACACTTGATTATCAAGGATATTTTAGAAAAGACAACACCTATTTATTACAAATAACTAACCTAACTTACTACCTTGTGTCCTAATTATAAGAGCTAGTTGATTAATTTGAGGAGATTAAAAAAATAACTTAAGTTAGTTATTTGTAATAAATAAGTGTTATATTTCCTAAAATATCCTTATTAATTTAATGTATTGGCTAGAGCTTAGAACTATCATTATTAAAAGGACTATCTTAAAAAAAACATAAATATGAGTATTGGGGTCTTATAATTAGGACCAAGATAAAAATCAAACGAGGTCTTATATTAAGGATCAGAGATAGTATTTTCCTAATATACTAAAATTAGTCAACTAGCTTTTATATTTAGAATCGGAGGTAGTATTATTATTATTGTTTCAGTTTATATGTGAGTTTTAGTTTTTAGTTTTACATAAATGCCATTGTTTGTTTATTGGATTCCCTAACAGGTCAAGGGCGACTGGGATTAATTAACAGGATTAGGAATGGACGGCCACGATTAAATGGAGCGTAAGAATTTGTGCCATGTGTTATCGTGGATTGGGCCATCAGACTGCGTGCCGATGTGGTGGTGCTAAATGCCTGGCACGTCAGATCTGATTAGCTGGCTTTTTTTAAAGGGTTTTTTTTAAGAATATTTAATTAAATATCTATTCCGTGCGATTTATTCCCAATTTTTTCAAATTAACATCATATTATTCAGATTTATTCTAAGTGTTATTTCGTTCTTATATCCGATTCTTATTTCACCCTTCATTTAAATCTTTTTAAAAAGTATTTTAGTACAACATATTATAAATCTTAATGGTTTGAATTAGATTTAAATAGCCTGTATTTGATTATTAAAAAAAAACACTTAGTTCTCTTGCCCTGAGCCTACTTTGTCATTTCCTGGGGTCTGCTCATTATTGAATATTGTACGTTAAATTATTATTAGCTCTTTATCTATGTCCCCTTTGCCTGTGCCTTAGCTGGAAGAGAAAGAGAGGGTGAGAGATGTAGGAAGAAAAGGTACAAGAAAATGAGTGAAGAGTTCTGCAAGTACGCGCTAGTATTTGAAAATTATTTAGGTACATAAAAACACTTTTTTCTATTAAATTTTTTTTATGAATATTTTCAATATATTTAGAGTTTTATATTAGTAGTATTACTATAATGTTTAGAGAAAATTTTGTGATTTGGGTATAGAGTAAGTATTAAGTTTTGAAAATATTTGACCGTAGAAATTTAAAGATATATTATTAAGAAATTTTAATCGGTTCAGATTTGTCCATTTATTACTTTTGGTATTTAAAATTAAATTTATTTGTTGAAAAATCTGTCATTTATGATATATATATCATATTAATACCGATTAAAACTAAGTTAAATAATTTATTTAGGTTGTTTGATATATTATTGAAATTTTAATCAGTTTATATTTGTTTATTGATTGTTTTGAGAATTTTAAACTAAGATTTTAGTTGGAAAATGTATTATTCAAGATATATAGAATATTTTTACCGATTAAATTTAAGTTAAATAACTTATTTGGGTTACTTAATATATTATTGATATTTTAATCAGTTAAAAAATATAAAATAGGTTAAGACTATATTATTAGAAAAATTTTGAAACTGGAAACCTAAGTTATAAATTGAGATTCTTACAATATTAGATAAAGACAATATTTTATAAGTAATTATAATTTAAATGAGTTATTTGGATAGAGAAAAATTGTTATTTGAAGTAAGAATTTTTGGGTAGTAAATATATATATTAATAATAATAAATCTTATGTAATTTAAGTTATTTATTGGTATGTATATTAAATTGTATCTACATTATTTGTAGATTATCCTGTACTTCAGAGTCTATAATTTGTGCTCTTATTTCTCAAGTTGTGAGGTTAAGCTTGGAGTAGAGGTAACCGGGATTAATTTATTTTATATACATGCTTTGGATTGTAAGGTGTTTCTTATATTTTTATTTTCTCAAGTTAATTTGTGAAATTATGCCTGTGAATAAAGTGTATATTTTCTTATATGACAAATTTTGGTGAAGTGGGAAGTATGTTGATTTAATTATGCTTGAGTTGTGCTTTATTGTAAATTTTGTTTTTTTGTGGTACTGAATTTAATATTAATATACTAATATTATGTTATTGGAAAAAAA